TCGTGCAGCATCTGGGTGTAGGGGCTGATAGAAGAATCCGTGGTCGTGGATCATGTCGCGGAGGTTTCAGTGACCGGGATCTCATACAGGGGTATCCGGGCGTCTTAAGGCTCCTATCGGAATCATCATACATTTTCTAACCTAAAGAGTTCGATGCAAAGACTGGTCTTAGGGGTCTACCCAGCATCCCCATGTTTTTAACCACCCCCCATCCCCCGTGGGAGGGAGGGAGGGAGGGAGGGAGGGAGAGACAGAGACACGAAGGGCAGTCAGACGGACAGGCAGGCAGGCAGGAACTGATCACGAGGCAGCTATGAACCTTGTTGATTGCGTTGGTCACTTTCTTCAAGTCTCTTTCCTTGGCCTCGATCTCATCAAAACTGCACTCGATGCTCAGTCCCTCCCCTTCGCTCCCCCGCGCTCTCACGCACATCTCGTCCAGGAGCGCGTCGGCCTTCATCTGCCTCTCCTGCTGCTCCTTCTGCTGCTCCTGTCGCATCTGCTTCTTCATCTTCGTCCTCTGCTTCCTTGTCATGTACTCGTCCGACACCATCACCGCTGTCCTCGCTCCTCCTCTGTCGACACATCCGTCATCCGTTGTCTACCGACTGCGAGCTACCTTGATCTCAGCGCCAGTCTCGTCGTCGCAGAGGAGGAGGCGAAGGTGAGGGACTGAGGTTGTACAACGAACCCACTGGTCGCGATCATGCAGCAGCTGAAGAGGAGAGCACATCCTATTGTCCGTGACATCACTTGCATCAGCACCTTCAGAAATAAATGTCTTCCTGGACGAGGGTATCAGCGAAAGCGTTTTGACGGTCGTTGACAGGCAATGCACTTCTTTCGTGCTGGTTTCCTTCCCTCCCTTATTCCTCATTCTTCTCCTTGCGTGAAATACTTCTCTGATATCCTCCTCCTCAATCACATCCCCGTAGTCACTTTCAAGATATCCAGGCTCTCACTGTCTACACTCTTCCTCTTCCGCTTCCGCATCCGCTTCCTCTTCCTCTTCCTCTTCCTCTTCCTCTTCCTCTCCCTGAGCGCTTCTCCTCTTCCTCTTCATCTTCCTCCCCATCAGCGCTTCTCCTTCTCCTCTCCCTCGTCTCCTTCAGCCCTCCCCACTTGTTTCTGCCCGCATGGCACCCTCATCCCTTTATGTGTGATCTACCCTCTACCCCCTGGTAACACATCTGGTACCCTACCCTCTTAGAACTACGATGGACGAGAGTCTGGCCCGGCCCGGCCGGCGGCCCGGCAACTAACTTAGTCACTGAGTAAGTTGCCGCAGTGCCTTGAGCGGAGGATCATCAGTATCACCGTGCCACGGTGGCACGGTCGCAAACGGTCTGAGGCAGGCCCCTTCAGTGTGACTAGCCTACTAGCCCGGCAATCCGGGTTCGGCGGCGGAATGGAACGGCATGCTTCGCGTTTGTACCGTACGGTCCGTATATTTTCATTCTTCACGCACATCGATCTTCCAAGGCTGCTCCCATGGACGGCCTGGTCTTCAAAGCCCTCATCTCAAGTTCCCAGGCATTGAGTCCGGCGACTTGAAAACGTGGGTCCAGCTCGAGGGCATCTCGAAACTTTTTAAGTAATCGGTCCTTCATCGAACCCAAGGGCTGTCGAGATTGAATTTCGCCAGAATGTCCATCACCTGCCGCAGGTTCGACTTCAGTCGTTGCTAAAGCAAACAATCCAATCTGCTTCTCTTCCCATTCAAAATCCCTTTTCACAGCAACACCAAGTCCAACACCCACACTCAGTTTATCCTCCTCTCTACGCCCATTCCCAAGTTCACCAACCTGTTTGTTAGCCACACGGCCCAGCACAACTTGGGGTTCGTCCTCACGGATAGGAATGACTCGGTGGGAGCGAAACTTTCGCTCCCTTCCTAGCACTCCCTCATTCCCAAGCGCGTTCGCCGCCTCGAGGCCCGACACGTACGCACGCTCCTGGCAGAGACCTTTCGCTCCTGCCACGGAGATGAGGAAGAGAGGAGGCTTAGAGGAGCCTCTGCAGAGGATGAGGGCATATCCTTCAATACAAGGATATGCCAGCAAGGGAAGAGCAATGCCAGAGCAAAGGACAGCAATGCAGAAAGCATAGTTGCAGGAAGAAAAGACAATGAAGAAGGGCAGAGAAACAATCAATAATACTCTACCGTGCTCTCTGTCTCCCATTCTTACCCAATCACCCGCACAGACCAAGTTAGAGAGGCTCGTCTGTCCAGAATGCATGTCAAACTTCGTCTACAACTCATCAGTTGCGACCGCCAACCCTGAAACAACTGCGACCAAGTCTCCTACGTTCTCCCACCCTCCTTTCACCTATACTCCTACTCCTCTCCTGCTTCCTTAACCCTGCTGACCGCGTACCTTGAGGGGTGGTCTCGACGTGTAGGAGCCAGGAGAGAACCACGTCACTGCACCCGGGTACTTCTGCACGTATGAGTCGACAACCTGGTGCTCATCGTCACACAGCAGCTAGCAACTTGTCCAAGTCACATTTGCTCTCCCAAACTCAGGGACGACAGCAGGAAGAAGCTCCTTCATCAGCAGGTCAATGATGTCCTGCAAGCAACATATGAGGACCTCCACCACCACCACCAACTCCTCCTCCTCCTCCTCCTCCTCCTCCTCCTCCTCCTCCAGATTCTCCTCCTCCTCCAGATTCTCCTCCAGACCCTGTTCCTCCCATTTGTTTCTCGTTCCCTGACCTCTTCCTCTCCATTCCGACCTGCTCTGAAAGGGGAAGCAGTCCTCCTGCGTTATAGAAATCGCAAGCCAGAACCGAACCCTGCGGCTCTTCTCCTCCCCACAATGCTCGTTGATCCGGTTGCAGCTGCATGGCACCAGGAGGCAAGTCAATCACCGTGGAAAGTATCTTATGACCATAGAACCTGATCTAGAAGGAAGAAAGTCCCTCCAGCACCACGCAGTCCTGTAAAGACAGTTAAACATCTACTGCGTCGACCCTCCTCTACACCTTCGAACTTGCTAAGAACGTTTGCGGGATTCTCCGTTACCACATAGCGGTCTAGCCAGATTCTCGTCGCAATGACATCAATGGACCCAAGCGAAGAAGCGCGAGATAGCTCAGGAGCAATCTTCGCCAGTGCAGGAGACCCTGCCATGAGGTACTGTACCTCCTTCAGAACTACTCGCCTAAATTCCCGCAATGTCGACTTACCTTCATTCCCTTAGCCCCCAGCGCGAGTACACAGGCGTCGAGGTTCTCGATCGTTTCTTCCTGTCCATCCTGCCAGCGATGATGAGCAATGAAATAAAGCATGGGCAGTTGTACCTTCCCCTTGAGGGTGATTCCTGTGACTTTTTTCGCTGCTTTGTCCACCAGAATCTTTTACATGCAATGTCATTGAGGCTCACAACGGAGAGGGATGGGGGGGGGGGGGGTGAGAGGGTTTCACGAATCGAGGAAGGTAGATATGAGAAGAGCAGTAACACACCTCCTTCACAAAGCTCTTGCTTCTGATTTCCAGGCCATGTTTCTCGATCAACATGTTTGCAAGTGGATTGATCAGGACTTCAGAAATACTTTGCTTCTTGATCCAACGGACGTCGAACGATGTCTGATGGGCAAGGGCATAGAAGTAAAGGAGCTCCATCGCAACAGCAGCGGACAACTCCTCTGGAGGCTTGAACAGTCCGACAAGCAGAGTGGGTCGGATGAAGTCGTCAACGAGCCTCTTACTCACGCCCATCCTGATGAAGAGCTCATGCGCAGTCATTCTGTCGTATGCTTCGAAAGTTTTCTCGCTCCTATCAAAGTCAAGAATGGAGTACAGAAGCCCGAGCATCGTTGTTCTGTCGCTCACAGGAATCCGCTTGAAGTTGGTGAAAGTTGCGAAAACTTGTCCCAGAGGCGAGGGAAGTTGAGGGAGCGAACTGGAACTGAACACAGGAGCGGTTGCCTCCAAGCCAAACGGACTGTAAAAAGAAGAACCAGTGAACTGAGTGAATGCCTGTTGATTCAATGTTAAGGCGTGAGGAAGGTCAGAATGAATCTTTCTCACTTCATCCTCAGCGATTCCAAGCTCACTCAGCAGGTTCTCGATGTTGGGATAGTCCTTCCAGAATCCTCTTGTTCCAGCTGACAAGATGGAGTCACAACAGGAAGGACATCGTACTTGGCTCACCCTCGAATGGCTTTCCTGTCGGGGTCAGCAACGGCTTTGACCCGGTTGGATCCTCCATACCATCTAGCAGTAGGACCTCACATCCCATCTCGCACAGGGCCTTGGCAGCGCCCCATCCCCCCCACCCTGCTCCAACTACCGCGACCTTTGGTTTTCGCTCTTCTGCATTCAAGTTCGATTCAATGATAGAGCAAGACTTCCTAAACTGATACTTTCTTGCATGGACATGGGCAATGGCCGAATTTGCTGCCGACATTTCGTTGAGCACGAGGAAAGGGAGGGGGAAAGCTTCTGTGAAGGCAGGTGCTGTACACGATAGCTCAGCGTCAGTGAAGAAGCATGCCCTGCGATGAAGACTAATTTTTACCTTGGAGTCGAAACTAAATCGACCTAATCCAACAGTAAGAAGGATGAAAAAACGAGGGAAACGAGGATCAGATGCATCGGGTGTTAGGAGCGCGAGAGAGAAAAAGAAAAGGGAGGCGAGAAGATGTCAGTTACATGCTAAGAAACCACCAACACACATGAGCTGAAATGACACGAGCATCAATGTCTCCTGTACACAGCAAACACTCTCCAAATGCTCTTGCAATGATTAACATCAACGTTCTGGACACGATCGCGACAGAGAAATACGCAGCAATGGCAGGAGTTCCAAACTCACCTCCCATTCCCAAGTATCCATGTGTATCATCTACAAGCAGGAAGAGAACAAGCCCAATCAAAGAACGCCATTGTCCGCCCCTCGCCATCGCCTTGTTCCTCCTACCCACAAACTCTGCCATGGCTTTAGACCCACTGATTACCACCTTACCCACCATAGTTTTGAACTTACCTTCAATCACCCCCGGATTCATACGAAAAATCACCCCTTCTCAAACTCAACGAAAGTACCCTACCCCCCTGTATTTCGTGTCCGGGCCTTCCAGGTTCGGACCGGAGCCGGGGCTATCAGTCCACCTTTAGTTCATTGTTGTTTTACACACCACTAAGGGTTTTTTTTATTTTTTTTCGTAAATTTTCGTAATTCGTAGCCTTGATGACAGTCGCATCTCTAGAACGGAGGAAGGGGGGTGGGGGTGGTGGCGGAAAGGAGAATATTCGTGCAACAGAGCAAATGCTTTTTATTATTTCAAATTTAGACCAAACTATTCAAGTTCACCACAAAGTTTGAACATTCTGGGCGACCTGTTGGTGCACAGGAAGTTGGGTAATCCTGCTCAGAAGAAGGGGTGGTGCGAAAAAAAGATGGTAGGGGCTTTTGGAGGATTTCAGGAAGGGGTGGGGGAATGCAGGGGTGTGCTGGAAGGAGGGTCGGAAGGATTGTTGGGAAGGAAGGGGTGTATCATATATGTTGACAGGGGGTAGGGGGTGGATGGATAGATCGAATAGATGGGGTTTCAATGGGCAAGTTCCGATGAGGTGGGGGTGGGGCTGGCAGTACCGGTGAGTGAGGACCCGGTCTGGCGAAGATAGCTATCTAGGTAGGGGTAGGAATTAGGACAAGGAGGGGTACTGGGGTACCAATTCACGGTAAAGGGTTATCATACAGGGATGGTAAAATATTAAAGGTGGTGGGGTAGTGAAGAACATGGATTTATTAGTAGAATGGTAGGGTGGGGTTGTTTGTTCAGGGAGCCATGGTGGATGGCAGTCAAGGGATCTGACGATGCCGAAGGGCATGCGGCAAGCACGTACGAGCGCACTAAGGAGATCTTGTATGCTCAGGCAGTGAATGTTGTAGAGACGAAGATGGAGAAGTCCAGGGATCATTGGTGCATGATACTAGAATAGAAGAAAGGGATCAGGGTTGCAGGATGGGTAGACAGGAAATTTTCCGATGCGAGTGGGGATATGAGATCGGGCCATCATCGAGCATCTTTCCATTTGTATATGTTGCTGATAACGTAGGAGAGTCTAGCGGAACCCATGATAAGGACAGAACTCCGCAGTTGGATGTGAGATGTTTGGATCCATGAAGTGTCGTCAGAGTACTGTTGCAGCAATTGAGACAATGAAGACCGACAAGCGAGATCAAATCATACCTCACGCACAAATAACACTCAGTGATTACAAGGATACATGATAGAAACTTGATCCCAGCCTTGCAGCTTGATGATCTCATGGAACTTTAGACTGCAGTTTGTGATGGAGGTTTTGAACAGGTTGGGGCGCTTCGAACATGAAAGCAATAATAGTGGGTGGAGCGCCGTATGGAATAGTGCTGGCATGTCGGATCAAGGAGATCGACAATACATCTACCGTGCTTGTTATTGAAAGAGGGTCTTCGATATGCCTGAGCATGGTCCCAGCTAGCAGCAGGCACCAAGGTGACACAGAGCAGACTTTTGTTGACGAAAGCTACCTACAAGATCTAGGAATCGAGATAAGGAGATTTTCTGAAATCCACTCTATTGAAGCAGAGACGAAGCACGTCCATCTGCACGACATTGCAGCAAATTACTCATACACAGAGAACTATGATGCGTTGATTCTCTCTTCCAACATTGAAGCAACCGATGGGAATATTGCTTGGCATGAGATCCCTAGAGTGTTCAAGTGTAGAACGCATGACGACTTGTCAAGCCTTGTCGCTCAGATGCAGGAACAATCTCCATCAAAGGTTATCGTCATGGGGGAAAGTTTGCTGTCTTTGCAGATGGCAGAAGGATTGTGCGAAGCACACGCAGTCAAAGACCAGGTCGAGATTCTACACAGCGGCTCAAAGGTCTACGGAAAACTGGACACTGGCAAGTGTTTGTCATCGTCATATTTAAGGATGGTAGTGATGTTTTCTGTTTGGTTTGCAGATATGGCAGAGATGCTCCATAATCGCATTCGGCAGAGAGGAGTTGGAATCACTCTGAAGGAAACGTTGTGCGAGATCAGGGAAAACATGGAACAAGTCGAAATTGTATCCGAGACAGGCGTGATCCATCGTGCTGACTTCGTGATCTTGTGTATCGAATATCATCCGGAGACAGATCTTGCGAGGAAAGCCGGAATACGCATCGGCCAGTCTGGTGCAGTTATGGTTAACGACAGGATGGAATCGACGCAGCGAGGCGTGTGGGCTATGGGAAGATCAGCAGAGACTTCAGTCGATATCTGCATTACACCACATGAGCTGGCATATTTGCGGCAGGTTTGTTGTAAACAACCATCCTGGTGTCATTCTTGACTGACACCCGAAATAGGCTCACATCATCGCAGACGACCTTTTCCATCACGAGAACACAATCACAACTTCTTGCATGACCGAGAGCTTTCAGATTCTGGGAGAAGCTGTAGCTGTCACTGGCTTTGATGAGGAAGAAGCAAGGCAGAAGGGCATCGCCTATCAAAAGATTTACGTGACAGATTCCGCTTGTAAATTTCGTAACATCACTTCGTACTCCCTCAAAGTGCTATTCAAAGAGGGAGACGGAACAGTTATTGGTGCTCAGTGCATCGGGATAGGAGATGTTGCTGGCCTTCTTGACACTTTCACCCTTGCCATTCAGGGCCACCAAACAGTTTTCGACCTTGAGAGCTCCGAGCTGTGCAAGGCCGGAGAACATCCTATTAACAGGGTTGGAGCCATCGGCTCGGACTCGCTCCGGATGGACTGTCCTCTCATCTCCTGGGAAAAGGTTCTGAACTTGGACTGTGCTGACAAGACGAGGTCAAAGGTGACGGCAGACTGTATCTTGATCGATGTCAGGGAACAGGAGGGTTACAACCAGTTCCACGTTCCGGGTTCGATCAATGTTCCCCTGAGCTCCCTGGACGCGTCTTTGGACCATATCAAGCAGAAATCTCTGGTCTACGTCTACTGCGAGGATTCGGAGCTTTCTTGTGAAGCGACCTGGACGCTGAGGAGCAGAAACTTCAACAGCTTCAGTGTGAGCGGCGGGTTGTTCAGCTACCACCTGCTCAAAGACTCTCTCCCCCATAAAGACCTCATATTCTTCGGCTGCGAGTGCAACTGCAAGGGGAACTCGATGAAAGATGAAAGAGGGGGAGATTATGCTGGAGAAGTCACTTTGAAATCAGAATGCAGGTTGTAATTTATGTGGATACATCGAGAATGAAAGAGAAAGAATAAAGCTGACGAGTAGTCTTCTGAGTGTATCACCCAAGGTCACTCCGAAGGAGAGGAGCAAGAGGAGCTTTGTGTAGGAAGGCTGTGAACTGTCTAGGACCCTTGGTTGCCTCACTGCACCAGTGACTGAAGCACTGGGGGAGGTCTACCATCGTTGCGCCAACCCCTCCCTCGCTCCCGCTTCGTCTAGCGGTGATGGACCCATCTCTCCTGCCCTGCTGATCGCCCGTGTGCTGAGACCTGAGGCTCAGGTGCCTTCCGTTCTGCGTCGACGACAACCGCATGCTGAGAAGCGTCTTGAGGTTTCTTGTCGCCTGGGCGTCCAGCAGCTGTAAAGACAGGGAGAATCTAGGGGACCTATCCGCAGCCTGACCCCCACCAATGCACCTTGCGCTGAGAGATCCGTCGTTGCCAGTGTTTGGGCTCCTCTTTGCTGCTTCTTCCAAAGGGGAGCCTTTGATTCTCTTGCAGCTCTGCGCGTGCCTTGCCGACGATGGGGTTGAAGCCTCGGGGTCCGGCCTCGTCTTTCTCGACTCAATCCACTGTATCAGCGGAGAGCTGTTTCCTCGCCGCTTCACAAACTTCGTCTTCCCCTTGAAAGACCACACCCGTCACCTCCCATGAACCCTTGAGCGCACCTACTCATACCTTGTTCTTTGAGCTCGACTTGGTATCTGTCGTGTCTGACGGACGCCTATCGAAAAAACTTCAAAAGCGGAAAGCAGCAGAGAACCCCTCCAGCAGACCTGCTCTCAGAGTGTCTCTGATCCAAGTAGTCAAGTTCTGAGTTGATCCTGACCGCACAGTCAGCAGCAGGCAACGATCGTCGCTGGGTTGTTACCAGTTGTACACTTTGACGGGAACAGGAGTCGACGAGTCATCTTGCCCCTTGATGCAGAAGCTTGACCGGCCGAGCTTCAAGTCTGAGTCTATCCGTGCGAAACCTTCCGGACTCAAGGAGTTCTGAATGATGGAGTCTATCGCTAGCTTGGGAGGGTTCCGCCGCAACTTGAACGCATCTTCCTTGTTGGACGTCTGCCTCTTCGGATCCCTCTTCTCCAGTCCCACCTTCTTGTCGGAGAAGATCTCAATGTTGCCGGTGGAGCTCAGCCTGACCTTAGGGTAGATCATGGAGGCGGTCGAGGGCCTGCGTAGCTGTCATCCTCCTCGTCTGCCCCCGCACCGGAGCCTCTTACCTCTCGTGCCGTCGCAGCACGGTGAGGTCCTCCTGGACCTCGTCCCCAGCGGAGCACGGCGAGGATGCGCACGGTGATGTCGAACGGTTCGATGCTGTGCTGGTGTAGTGCTCTGCCGCGATGCGCTCGGCAGCCTTGAAATCACCGTCACCATTCGCACAGCATGCGCATCTTGTGGTACCTCCCGTATTGCGTCGAGGGCGTCCCGGCCTCTGGCTGAAAGCTTGTCCACACTAGATATCCCGGAGAATTTCTGTGTCATGTCTGCTCGAATTGACGATGTAGACTGATCAACAACTTAGTTCAAGAGTCAGACTGATGAAAAATAACCATCAGTGGACGGGCAGGACTGACATACTACTCAAAATCCTTCTCATCATGAATTGCATCCTCTCTCTCTCTCTCATCCTCGTTCTAGTCTGGCTTCTTCGGAATCCACTCCACCTGACTGAGATTTCACAGATTTCTGAGTCTTTCAGCATTAATGTACGGTCCTTCACATATTTGGTGGGCATATCGTCTTCAACCATTTAACTTGTCACTCAAACCTGCCTGCATCAACATTTCTCCGCCCCCTCCGGTTCTCTGTGTTTTCTCAAGCTCCCATCGTTCTAAGGCCTGAGTCTGGTAAGCTGAGACCTGGCAAAGATGTCGTTCAAGACTCGAACGATCCCTCGAACGTCACTGAGAGCTCAACCGTGCTTGTGTTCGATTGTCTTCTCAACCATCTGATCTCTTCTCCTCCTCCTTCCATCTTGTTGCATTATCCTCTCCTATTACTCCAACCGGCATGCCGGGACCGGACCCTCCCTTGTGATACCACCCCGTGATAGCTTCAAAGATACTACCCGTAGTAATCAAACTCTCCCACCCCTGATGTACAGAGAGGACGCTACGATCCTACCCCTACCCCAAAGAGGATCACCCTACCCACCAGGTTTGAACTTGACAAGACTACCCCTGTTGTTCTAAAGGACAACCCCCCCTTCTCCTTTTGTCACATTTTGCTGGTGCCCTTCAAGGACCCTACCCCACTACGAGACCTAGCTGGTAGGAACACAACTACAACTTGCGACCACCCACCGGTCATTCGCCCTGTCATCATCAGGTTCACCATCATACAGCGCAGCACAAACGGGGCCGCATGCCAGGATAGCTAGTAGCCCTTTTTATCTATAGGCGCTCTTAAGGTTTCTGCTCTCTTCGTTGGTGAGACTCTAGTTACCATAAATTATGAACCCCCATGACTACCCCTACTACCAAACTTCAACCTTTACTACCGTCAAGTTGCCCTCTACAGTGAATTGAATTTTTATATGATAATATCCTGATAGGTCCACCCCCTACCCCCCACCCCCTCTGCTGAGAGTCGCCAGTGACTCCAATAGTAGTAAAGAGATCAGATATTCGCCTTGCTCTAACTGATCGTGAACCGCACAGCGGCAACCTTTCACTACTCCACCCCACCCTAGTCACTAGTACCCGGCCCGGCCGTCCGATCGGAAAGCGGACCGTTCCGAAGTTCCAGCCTCCAATTGACCAGCAGAGCCTCCGAACTTCCGGGAAAAAAAAAAGATTACGAACCAAACTTATCAACGTTAAGTTTGGGGGACAGCAGTCGGCAGGATTAGGTTTGGTTCTCGCTGTCTTTTCTCTTCTCGCCGTTTGGCCTGTGCGACAGTGTCAGGGTCAAGCCTCCTCGACTCTCCTGATTGTCCTCGTACTGATTTTTAACTTAACTTTGAGTAAAGAGTCTCTATCAACGGGGGGGGCGGCCTCGGCTCTCAGCCGCCCGGGCCTCCGACCGTCGGGCCGCCGCGCTCACCGTGACTCAAGTTACCGTAGTACGGTACGCCGGACAGTGACTGGGAGCCGCCCCCGGCGGCCCGGCCGCCGCCGTCACCGGGCCGGTCGGAGTCCGATCCCGGAGCCGGTCGGAGTCCGATCCCGGAGCCTGAGTCCAAGCCTCCCGGAGTCCTGACTCACGGTCCGGGCGCGAGGCCCGGGCCCGGTGGCCGGGCATGGCGGACTCCCGAGTCCCCGGATCCGGCGGGCCGCCGCGCGCCCGGCCGGCCGTGACTCACGGTGCCCGCCGCCCGGGGCCCGGGGTGCCACGGTGTGTGTACTATGACAGTGACCGTACCGTTACCGGGCCGGCGAGTCCCGGGGGCCTCGCCGGGCGGTCCGATGGCAATCATCCGGGAAGGCCGCAGGCCCCGCGGGCCGCCTTCCGAGGCACTGGCTTAACTAGTAACGGTTAACTCGTACGCCGGTCACGCCTGACTCCGAGTGTGAGGCCCCGGCGGACCCCCGGGCCACACTGTCTTGAAGTTCGTGACGTCAGCCTGTGCTGCCGCCCAGTGCCGCCGCGAAACTTCGAGTCCGATCGCCGAGATGAATAGTGACTCCCGGTCACTGCCGTCAGGCCGCCCGGCCGGCCGCCGCTAAGGGCCCCCGGGGGGGGGGCCCTTAGCGGCGGCCGGCCGGGCGGCCTGACGGCAGTGACCGGGAGTCACTATTCATCTCGGCGATCGGACTCGAAGTTTCGCGGCGGCACTGGGCGGCAGCACAGGCTGACGTCACGAACTTCAAGACAGTGTGGCCCGGGGGGTCCGGCGGGGCCTCACACTCGGAGTCAGGCGTGACCAGGCGTACGAGTTAACCGTTACTAGTTAAGCCAGTGCCTCGGAA